TACATGTCTGAATGACAGCAAAAGAGAGCTTTCACTTGTAAGTGATTTCTAACTTTCACTTGTAAGTGTTTGAGATGATAGATATCTGTATTTTCCCGGAAAATAAGTCACACCTTAATATAAGTCATTATATTGTTGTGGTGTGTAAAGTGTGCTTTTGAGAAGCAAAAATCATTGATAATGCGTTGTGATAAGCTGCATATTACATTTATAGATAGATATTGTTGAAAAACCAGTGTGACATGTTTTCTTGAGGTCTTTACCAGTGATAAACAAGGATATAATCATAGAACAGGACTAACATTGTGTGAGAGTGCATAAGATACAGAAAAAAAGGCCTTGTGATTCTTTCATTTGATTCTATTATTAACCCCTCATCCCAATGTGTTTTAACAAATAGGCTATGCTTTGAATAAATGTTTTGCGGTGTACTAGTGTGATTATCTTGGATGTTTCACAAAGTAGAACAAAATAGTTTATTTTCATATTAGAGTGATTTAGAGTTACAGGAGGCTAAAACGCAGTGCTCACATGTCTTAGCAAAAAATTAGCCTTAAACCAGTCAGTTTAGCAAAATAATGTAAACCTGTTTAACACATCATTTCAGGGCTTTAAAACTGCGAGGGTGGGATTTCAGAATTCCTGTGTGTTTTTACCCTGAAGGGTCTTTTACTGGAAAGTTATCCACATCCCCCACAGCAAATAGGAAATACCCATTTTAGCTAGTGAGATTTGAGATAAGTATAATTGCTCCGAAAATATTTTTCAGCACTGAGAGCATTAGTTTTACATTCTTTTAACGTTTTAGGGCGTTATTCCGAAAGTTGCCTCGAGAATATTGCCTTAAGAAACCAAAACTGGCCAGATGACATTCATAGGGGTACGAAATAAATTGTTATACTAGAACATGTTTGCGTAAGGGCATCTGCGTAAGTCAGTGAAACAAAATGGAGAAGAATAAAATCAAGTTTTACTTACATAGGCCTAATTATAAAATCTACTGTCTTTACACTCAAGGCATCGTCGTCAAAACGCACACATAAATATTAGACACCCCTGACTGAGATAGATAGATAGATAGATAGATAGATAGATAGATAGATAGATAGATAGATAGATAGATAGATAGATAGATAGATAGATAGATAGATAGATAGATAGATAGATAGATAGATAGATAGATAGATAGATAGATCCCTACATAGAGCCCTTACATAGGCCCTAGATAGATAGATAGATAGATAGATAGATAGATAGATAGATAGATAGATAGATAGATAGATAGATAGATAGGTAGATAGATAGATAGATAGATAGATAGATAGATAGATAGATAGATAGATAGATAGATAGATAGATAGATAGATAGATAGATAGATAGATAGATAGATAGATAGATAGATAGATAGATAGATAGATAGATCCCTACATAGAGCCCTTACATAGGCCATAGATAGATAGATAGATAGATAGATAGATAGATAGATAGATAGATAGATAGATAGATAGATAGATAGATAGATAGATAGATAGATAGATAGATAGATAGATAGATAGATAGATAGATAGATAGATAGATAGATAGATAGATAGAGCCCTACATAGAGTCCTTACATAGGCCCTAGATAGACAGACAGATAGACAGACAGATAGATAGATAGATAGATAGATAGATAGATAGATAGATAGATAGATAGATAGATAGATAGATAGATAGATAGATAGATAGATAGATAGAGGCCTACATAGAGCCCTTACATAGGCCATAGATAGATAGATAGATAGATAGATAGATAGATAGATAGATAGATAGATAGATAGATAGATAGATAGATAGATAGATAGATAGATAGATAGATAGATAGATAGATAGATAGATAGATAGATAGAGGCCTACATAGAGCCCTTACATAGGCCATAGATAGATAGATAGATAGATAGATAGATAGATAGATAGATAGATAGATAGATAGATAGATAGATAGATAGATAGATAGATAGATAGATAGATAGATAGATAGATAGATAGATAGATAGATAGATAGATAGATAGATAGATAGATAGATAGATAGATAGATAGATAGATAATACACCTCTCACAGAAATATGACACCACTTCGCTGGAATTTTCACACTTGTCAAGGGATCTTCACACTCCACCCTTAAGTACTTTAAATAAGCAAATAAGAGCCTGTCATGTCAGGAATCTCGGATCAGAGTTCATTCAGAGCTGTTTTTCAGATACCTGAAATATATAAGGGTTTCAATATAAACAGTTAGTTTAACAGTTTCTCAACGCTCATATAACATGTTGAGAAAAAGGAACAGCGATGTTTGTATGGTTGTAATGTGTGTGTTTGGTATTGTGTTTGCAGGGAGCATTCTGGGGCCTGATGGTGGGTCTTGTGGTGGGCTTTACACGGATGGTCCTTGAGTTTGTCTTCCCTCTACCCCGCTGTGGAGTGTTTGACCCTGCTCCCTCTGTCCTAAGGAGTGTACACTACCTACACTTTGCCATCATACTGTGCGCCCTCACTGCTATTGTTGTGGCTGTGATCAGTCTGCTGACCCCTCCACCCAATGAGGAACAGGTAATATTCTCTCAATTAGCATATCAGTACAGATAGAAAAATGGTTCTTTTGCACATTTAAAATGATTTTGTGGAAAATTCGTCTTGTCTTATCAAATAATGTGTAAAGAAAAGATCTTAAAATCATACCTGATATTACTTTCAGTTCCTTTGTCTTACTGGAAAGTGCATTCCATTACAGGATTCCTGCATTACAGGAATTATAAATACATTACATGTACGGTACCTAATAAGAGTAGTATAGTATGCTGTTCTAAGCTTTTACAAGATACATTTTAATGTCTTTTATCAAGTACTTTAATCAATTAAATCCAGTAGTATTTTTGCTGCATGTCATGTAGATTGGCTTGTGTTTGATTTCATTTCAGATACATAATCTTACCTGGTGGACTCTCCACGACAGCGCTGAGAGAGAAATACCTCTACAGAAAGTAAATACACTCAGCCGCAGGACAGATGGTACGAAACACACACACACACACACACACACACATTGGGTTTTCATGTTTTATGGGGACATTCGATTGAGTTTTGTTCAAATTCTGTCCCCTTACACTAACCCTACCAAACCCATCATAGAAAACTTTATGCATTTTTAAATTTTCAAAGAAACACCACTTAGTATGATTTATGAGCTGTTTTCCTCATAGGGACCAAAAAATGGAAATAGATTTTGGAGATTGCCATCTTTGAGGGGACATTTTGACCCCATACTATAGCCAGGACCACACACACACTATTGTTCGATTATATTATAAACCTGAACCCTTCAGAAACCTGTGCAATATATTAGATGCGAATATAAACATGATGCAAATTTATAAGCCTTTTGAACTAGTGAGGTCCATTTTTGATTAATGAAGAGATTTTTGACACAAATTTAGATAAACCTGAACACACACAAACTAATCCTGCTTCCTGAGACAGAGTGGAGGTGTGAGAGGAGTTTACAATATGATCGATCTCATGAGGTTTGTTGCGGGCTATTCATCAGGGTGTGGTGGTGTTCTACATTTATGTATCAGTTGACAAAACAAAAGATGATTATATGCGTGAGAACACACACAAGGCAACTGAGAAAAATACCAATTGTCATTTTCTTGGTTTGGAATGTAAGTAAGCTTAATGCATAAGGTGGATTATGTTACCAAGCACAACATTTGAAAACTGTAAGGCAGATTAAGGTTATGTGCAATCACGCAATATGTCATTTCTTTCAGTTCTGAAGCTTTTTAAGCATAAAAAATGTCCACGGATTTTTAAATTGTACCATGATAATACCTTGGTATTCTTACAAGAACCTTAGACTATCTCAAGCCACCTTTCATAGCACTTTATAAACAGGAAAAAAAAAAGCAATCAAAAATGCACACTTCATCAAATATGAGACAAATTCTGCTGTAAAGAAGCTCTAGAATAGTATCATTTTACAGTTCAAGTCAGTTCAATGTTGATTCAGTGTTAATGACCCAAAGTTGAATCAGCTATAAAGTAAACCCTTTAAAGCCCATCGTTTATGAATATGGTAATCATGAAAAATCAAAAGCATCATGGCAGTTCATTTCACAGCCAACATTTTTGTGTCAATCTAGGCTGTGAGTCTGTGCGCAGGGGTAAGTGTGTGCGCACCGCTGGGTTCTGTAGTCCCCGACCTGGCCGAATTGTGACTGGGAATTCATCTCCCATCATTCACAGCATCAGAGAAGATCCCTTCTGGTCTCGCTTCTGCTGCGCCAATGCCATCATCCTTGTGTGCATTAACATCTTCCTCTATGCTTACTATGCGTAACGTACTTCAGCTAACAGTCACGCACATCAGTTTTTTTGTCATGATAATATAAGTGCATCACCTAGTTGACTGATAAAACCTTTGGGGTTTTATTTGTTAGATATCCATGTTAAAAATACAATTACATTTAGATCAGAACGACTGCAAAACAATGCAATAGCTGAATTAAGATCATCATCCAACAGTTATATATATATATACACAAATTTTCATATGAAGAGTTCAGATACAAAAGCCTCTAAATGCCATTTGAAATTTTCTTCTTTAATGATGATTTTGATCAAACCTGTATATTTAAGTTCAGTAATTTCACTTAAATGGCAATGATAATTACCTATTAATTGTTATTTAAGTGAAATTACTGAACTTAAATATACAAGTTTGATAAAAATCATCATTAAAGATGAAAATTTCAAATGGCATTTAGAGGCTTTTGCATCTGAACTCTTCATATAATGCATATATGTTGAACAATTGTATATTTACCTTTGAGAACAGGGGAAATAGAAGTTACCATGAGTTTTCTCACAGTGCATGTTACAAGGCAATATGCATAAAGTAAGATCTTATGTTTGATAAATATGTTCACATTAACTGGGACAAAAAAAAAACTCATTACTAAATACTCCCAAAGAAATGGGTGTAAGTTTAACTGCAGTATTTCTTCTCTGTAATGAATGAACAGTGATTAAACTGCAATTTTCTGTACAGCACATCAATGACTGTGTAATTTGTGTCTTAATAATCATTTCAACAATAGCGTGAGAATAGCCTATATTATATGGTTGTAAGAACAGTTTGTCAATGATTTTAAGAACTGAAAATAATGAAACATTAACTTGAATATTTGTGATTGTCTATTTAACTTTTTTTGTTTTCTCTTAATTTATATTGTTTTATTGTTAATGTGCAAATTAATAATTGATACATTAAAATTATGAAGCAATGTGTAAACCTAGTGTGTTGGGTTTGGAGTGTTTGTGTGGGAATGAATCGTAGACATACAGATGGATGGATGATCTAATTTAAGGGTTTTAAAACTCCTTTATAGAATATAAATGTGAACGGCAAGAAAAAATGAGTTTTTTCTAGATAAAAGTTTATTTTTTTCCTTGAGTTGAAAGGTCATAGAGACCATATCTGCTCATGAAATACATCCTTAATTTTTTTTATGTATTACACCTGATTGCTGTATTTCTACAAAACTTATACAGTTATCATCAGTTATCATTACAGTTATTTATCATGTGTTCAATGCGTGCAAGCAATTATTAGGTGTAAATACGTGTTAGCAGTTTGGTTGACTCATATTTTATCACAGTACATCAGACCGTTAACACTGCAGCAAAGCTTGCTAATATATACTATTTTGCATATCAATGAACAGCAGTTGCAGCTTAAAGAGAAAAATAAGATTTAAACTTTCATTTCACACACCATACATGTCAATGTAAATTAAATTATATTGCTTTTAATACATAAACTGATCAGTAGAGAAAGAGTTACTTAAATTATGGTCACTCTGAAAATAATATTATCTTATTATTGCTTATTTTTATGGTGATCACGTTAACAGCATAGAATCCCAAATGTTTTCACATGGCATGGGTGGATCCAACGTTTGCTTTCCATTGGAACATCAGTCAGAGGTCTTCCTGAACAGACATAGACTGAAAACAATCCAATAACCCTCTCTTTTCTGGTACAGAAAAACTTAAATCCATTTAATGTAAAAAATACATATATTTTTTTGCATATCTAATGCAGTTTTATAATTATCTCCAGTGGCCTATTTAACAAAAAAAATATATATATTTTTGTTAGTTTTATCCATGATTTGTTAAGATATGATGTTGGAAATCAAAGAAAGATATGATGATATATATATATATATATTGTTACAAGCCATTGGTTGAGCAAATGTTTTTATAGCACCACAAAGCCACAGTGTTTACAAAGAAATCAATTTGCTAATTATTTAATGTTGTCTCTGAATATCAATCTAGGATTGGATTTTTTAAATCACAAAAATTGCCATTAAAGTATGTTTCTAAGAAAAAGAGAAAGAACATTTTCCAAGTTTGTACAACTTTAATATGAATGTTCACTTTAAAAGAGGAAATAATATAGTAGGTGTGAGCAAAATGACAATGTGTTTTTTATGTCTATCAATTAAAATCATGAATTGAGAGCAATAAAACTCCTTCCATTTGAAAGTATTTGAAAGAAGAATAGATAGGAAGCTCAGATGATGGCTGATCAGCGAGTAAATGTCACTCAATAGTCAACTGTTATAATCCTTAAGGGTGTTACAAAACTGGTTTGTTGACAAGTTAGAATTGCTTCCTGATTTGCTAAGAATGATTTACAAAGAGATTGATGGGCAAATGCTGACCATGACACATAAGTTTAATTCAAACCTTAATCACCTGATACACCAAACATTGATGCATTGGACTTTGTTCCCCTTCAGATTTATGGAGAGTGTGTGTAATGGATGAGTAAGTCTTATCTGTACAGGACAGTTCAGTGGTAAATTGGCTGCACATACTCTGGTGGGAAAACGCCCACTCTTCCCCGGCATCGCCCCCTCCAGCACTGAGCGTCCGAACAGTCCAGCACATCAATGACATCACCGCGCAGGAAACGTAGATGAGTCGCATGATGAGATGTGAAGTCGAAGAGAGCATGGGCATGGCGTGGCCTCTGAAACACACACACACACACACACACACACACAAAATTACAGGAAATGCATTGCAATTATGAGAAAAAAGTCACAATTATGAAAAACATACCACAATTGTGAGATATAACAACGCTATCTCATGTCCAATTCGTATGAATTTGTACGAGTGATTAAAAGTGGCTAATTAGTACGAATTCGTATGATTTGTCTAAACCCACGTGATGGGTAGGTTTAGGGGCGGGGTCAGGGGTAGGTCATTCGTACAAATTCGTTCAAATTGGGCAACTCGTAAAATATGTACGACTTAGCAAAGATTTTTGAGTGAAGTCGTACGAATTGTTACGAATTAGCCACCTCGTAAAATTCGTACAAATTGCCGTGAGATCGGGTTGGATATAAAGTCACGACTGTCAATAATAAAGTCACAAATATGAGAAACAAAGAAATAATATCAAAATTTTGGAGGAATAAAGCAATTAGGCGAAAGAAGTCTCACAATTGTGAAAAACATGCCTAAATTGTTAGATATAACAACGCTATCTCACAACCAATTCGTATGAATTTGTACGAGTGATTAAAAGTGGCTAATATGTAGGAATTCGTACGACCTCACTCGTACGAATTTGTACGATTTGTCTAAACCCACGTGATGGGTAGGTTTAGAGGCGGGGTCAGGGGGTTGGTCACTCATACGAATTCATTCAAATTGGGCAACTCTTAAAATATGTACGATTTAGCAGAAATTTTACTAATTCGTACGAGTGAGATCATACGAATTGTTACGAATTAACCACCTCGTAACATTCGTACGAATTGCCGTGAGATCTGGTTGGATATAAAGTCACGTCTGTCAATAATAAAGTCACAAATGTGAGAAACAAAGAAATAATATAAAAATTTTGGAGGAATAAAGTTGCAATTAGGAGAAAGAAGTCTCACAATTGTGAAAAACATGCCTAAATTGTTATATATAACAGTTACGACTTCCAAAAATCGTCTCGCACGTAAGAAAGTCACGATTACAAAGAAATGCAATCAAAATGTAAGTGAAATAGTTGCAATGGTCACAACTATGAGAAAGAATTGCAATTCCAAAAAGTCTTAAAATGATGAGAAAGTCAATTGTGAGATATAAAGCCACGGCTGTGAGAAATTAAGTTAGGGAAATAAATTATTTAAATTTATGACAAAGTTGCAATTGTAAGATATTGTCAGAATAATGAGAAACAAGTCTCACGATTATGAGAGAAAGTTGCCACAGTTGTGAGATATAAAGTGATGTCAGAAGTCACAATAAAATAGAAATTTAGGACAGTCACGATTACATAAATGAATTATGACTGTGAGAAATACCTGCCACGATTGTGGGATACATAGTTGTAATTTATGAGAAAATAAAAATAAATAAAATAGCTCTGAAGTTCAAAAGGATTCCCAAAGAAAAAAAATTCCCAGCAATAATGTTGATAAAGGAGGGGTCACATATGGCTCTACGCATGCCTCGTTAGAGCTTGTAACAGGATATGATGTCACGCTCAAGCTAAAGAGGTTAGCATTAAGCCAAGAGATCGAAGTTTGGCTTCACATCCTCTATTGGTCAAACATCCTTTCGCTTTGCAAATTTGCAGATCGGAGTTCACCAGAGTTGAACTTTGACACCTCAGTAAGGCTCTTACAGCTAATGATCCCTCGGGCTCTTGCAGGAAGACGGTCCTCTCTTTGGCAATGCTGTTGATTCTGTAGAAGTCCACTAGCTGGTTGAGGGAGCTGAAGACTTCATCCCATATGAAGTACTGCCCTAATCCATCCTTCAAAACCCTAAAGTGCTGCACATGGTCCCCGTAACTAGAAAGAGAGAGAGAGAGAGGGTTGTTGCTTCTAGATTAAGGGGTAGATCTTGTCTGGACTTACCAGTTTATTAAATCTGAGCTTAAGAGTGTATGATTAAAGGTTTTGCCCAATAAATCACAGTTTGGCATTTCAGCTCTCAACAAGTTTTTGAATCCCAATGATTCAGAAAAAGCAGTGTTAATAACTGTAATCAAATTAGGCTCTAAACAAGTCTGTGCTTATTCTCCTGCAGATACATTACAGTATTCCTGTCTGATAAAATGCTCATTACAGTACATTCAACAGTGTACTAATAAATACACTATCCCCCAGTTTCACAGACAAGGCTTGAGCCTATCCTGGACTAAAAAGCATGTTTGAGCTGTTTTAACTGAAAGCAACTTGTCAGTACTTTTGTTTTGTCTCAAGATGCACACCAAAGGCAAGCTATGTGATTTGTTCCAGAAACATTTTTTATGCTGGTTGCAAGTCTCTTCACATCCTGATAGCAATCACAAAGTTAAGTTGTATAAGATATTTATATTTATATACTTGTAATATATATCATCCGTGGAAGGCACGGGACCATGCAATGATGCGATGTCTTTCCTGTCTGTCAACTTATGTATTTCCATACATCCGTGCACTTGCTCACGCAGACATAATCAGTCACTGAGCACCGCAAACAAATCTGCAGCCGCCTTTCATAGTTCCTCGTGATCCAAATCAACAAACTTATGCTGCGTTCACACCTTAACTACTGTAATTTGGAAAAGATGGAAACCTGTGACGTTATACTCGAATTTATGAGCTTCAATGGCAACACTATCAACGGCGAAATGAATTTCAGGTCAGAGTTCATCAAGTTGTTTATGTTCAATATTATAGTAATGTTATGTGCTTTGAGACTTGAGGTAGTTTAACACCATCTCTCATGACGCTTTTATTTGCTCCCTGCTGTATGCGTTCATGTGTTTTGGAGGAGGCGTGGCTTTGGAGACGCTCTAGGGAGGGTGGGATCGTATGCTTTCAAAGCTAGCTCACTATTTCTAGCCACTCCATAAATTGCCTTACCTTTAATCGAAGCCTTGTCTGTGAAACCAGGCCTCAGAATCAATAAAAAATGCAGCAAAATATCAATATCCTTATATGCATCTACAATGTAATACAGTGGATGTCCAGTAAGTATTTTGTAACTACATGTGTTAATTATTTTTCAAAAACATATTTATCATCAATAATTGTTTCTCAATTACTCTTTTTTGCTGAAATCAATCAATCTATCTTTCAGTCTATATTCTAAAATATGATTTATTTTTATTTAATTTTAGAACGTATAATTTGTTACAATTATTTATTTATTACAATTCATTTTGATCACTTGCATTAAATATATAAGTGATCAATATATATTTATTATATCAATAAATATATATATATATATATATATATATATATATATTGCCTTTCACAACCCCTGTAAATTGATAAATCTTTAAGAAATATATAAATGTATTTTTTCTTTGTTTTTTTCTTTTTTCTTTTTTTTTTTTTTTTTTTACAAATGACTCATCTTATTTTTATTAAATTTATTGTAAATAATTCTGATTTGAACATGCTCTTAATTGTTTTTGGTTTACTGTGAAACATGCAAACAATGATGCACACCCTGCACCTGGGGCATGTGTCTTTAATCACCTGGTGGATCCACCCTACCACACCTGCTCTTAACCTGTGTGGGTGTTACTCACACAGATGCATATCAGTCCACGCAATCCTGCATGGATCACTTTGCTTGTTCAGACAGAAACGGTGACAGAATGAGGAACTGCCTCTGGGATGTGGATTTGTGTGTGTGTGTGTGTGTGTGCAAGAGAGAGAGAGAGAGAGAGGGAGGGAACTGTTCTAAAGATCATCAAAACAGCAGGGCATGTTTAGGGAGAGTAAGACCTTATGAGTAATTATAATCAAAGTCATTACATATGACCCAACATTAACAATTCTTAGACACAAGCTCCAACATAAACTGTCATTACATTAAAGAGCACCTATCATGGATTTTTGAAAATCATGTGGTGTGAAATATAGCTCTAAGGGAATGAAAACATCATGCAAAGATTTATATCGGAAAGTCCACGGTATATAAAGTTATTGTCTTTCAAAAGTGAGAGTCGACTCTGAGTCTATGTCATTAGCTGTTACATCGTGACGTAGATAGGTCATTGGCCACTCCCAACAACTGCGCGTGCATACGGAAGTGTAAACTTGAAGTGACGTCTAGAACACATTCAAATACTTCAGCTGAATCGCATCATGTCGAGAAGACGCTGTGTTCTACATTGCAAAGACAGTTCAGCCACTTGTTTCCATTGTCCAGGGACGAGCATGTGAAGAATCACTAGTCAGAGTTCATATTTGCAACACCCGCCCCGAACCTTGTGTTCTCATCATTTTAATGACGAATCATTCAAAATTCAAAAACCTAAATGAATTCATATGTGGATTCGCAAGTCGGTTGTTCCTGAAGGAGGACTCAGTATGTGTATATGGATCAGGTTCGTCCTCCTCCAAATCAAAATCTGTAAGTATTAATAATGTTTGCTGCTATATTTTCTGTAGCATGCACAATATAGTTATATTGTGTTGTGTACACTCCGCGCAGCTTCTAAGCGGGGTAAAGTTAGTTTTGTTTTTGATATTCGCCAGACATTCATTGAAAAATGGCAATTACATCCTAAACTTAGCCAAATACAGTATGACTTTGCTCTAATAAGCACTGCCCTTTAAAAGCCGCCGCAATGTGAGTTTCGCCGGGAAAGCTCGCTCTTGACGGAGACGCGAGTAAGGGACCGTGTGAAAAGTGCACTTTTTCTGACACGTTTGTTCAAACACTATATACAATTTTCAACACTTGACAAGCTATAATCCTGGTTATTGGCGTTCCGTTGCCGACAGTCTCCGCCTACGGTTTACCAATAACAACTGACTGGGTCATTTGACCAATCGCCGCAGATTCGCGTCACTCAAAGGAGGTGTTTGGGAAAATGAATCGTCGAACGAATCATTTGGGAGTCGGTAAGCAAATCAGTTAAAAAATAAATGCATATTATAAGACAAATAAAGTGTTTTTTATCCTTGCATGCACGTTAATTTTTGGGAACTCCTAAAACAAAAATAGGAACATTTCAAATGCTATCCCAGATAGCAAACTGACATTGAATCAACGTGGAAACGACGTCTCTCATGACATTGAAACAACGTTGATTTTGCTCATCGAATTAACGTTGAACCAACGTCAGACGCGGCATTCTTCAAAGCTAAATGAAAATGGAAAACTGGTTTGCTTTCATAACGTTGAAACAACGCGTTGATTTCAAGTTGATTTTCCGTTAGTTTTGAAAGAATGACGCGTCTGACGTTGGTTCAACGTTAATTCGATGAGCAAAACAATGTCAGATCAACGTTGTTTCGATGTCATATTTCCACGTTGATTCAATGTCAGTTTGCTATCTGGGATGTTTGTAAGTATGTATAGTTCAGCTCATTCCTGAATGATGACTAGTCAATACAGCATTCCAGCTATGCTAAACTGCACAATAATTTAATAACTATACCACAAAACAGCTGTTCATCAGCTACTTTTTGAGACCATTTGAACAAACATTTGCAAATGATATGCACTCAAAAGCTGATGGTACAAAAGCTGTCACTAGGGAGGATCTAAAATATACCATTTAGGTACTAATATAATCACTTTTGGTACCAATACCTTTGAGGTACTATTAGGTACAATTTGGTGTACCTTTTGAAAGGATCCTCACCCAGTGACAGCTTTTGCACCTTTTTCCTGAGAGTGTGTTAAGCATTTATATTAGTTAGAGTTCCAAAAATATAGGCTACTAAATGTCACTGTATATACCTGTGAAGGTTGGTTTACCTAAAAAAATATAAATGATTTTTATTTCTATATCTTTCTGTCTTTTCTCCCTTGCTTTCTCCCTCCCTCTCCATCACACACATGTAAAAACACAGAAACATCTGTCCTGGCCTCAGGTACTCAAGCTTGTTAAGAGGTGCTGTGCTAATAATATGTGACTAGATTGGATTCATTGTGCTGCATTTATGTTGCAACTATCCCTCGAATTCTCTTTCAATTTCCTTCTCTTTGTCTCAGTAGAATTTGACGTTTTGGGTCAGGCCTTTAGAGGTGTAAAGCAAAGTGATCTAAAAATAATTCATGCATGTCCACCTTCCCAACGCATGCCAACTTCAATAGTTTCAACTTCAAATTCAATCGAGTTCTACCATGAGCTGTGAGCTGTACATAAAAGAAGAAAAGAAAAGGTGCATGCAAAGACAAAATATTACTATCATTGAACAACCCCCAAACAATGAATGATATCTGAAATCATGCAGTCTATTACTTTTAAGCAAAACTAGTGAGCAATCAGATGGGTGAGATGTCCCATTAAGGTGTCGCGTACATGATACTGTTTTCAACTATAAACTGAAAGAATTGTACGCGTTTTGGTTGTCCATTTACACGCCAATGGCGTTTTGGGTGCCTGAAAATGCTAATTTTTGGAAAATGGGTTTCAAAGTGTAAACTACACAAATGTGAATTTGTGAAAATTGTGAAGTCATGCGCATGTGTATATTACAGTGTGTTGTGTTCTATCTATCTGTGTTCATTCAACGAACGAAATGAACGAGTTGACTCTGGAAAAGATTTGTTCATTTTGATAAGAGAGTTCGAAAAGGAGAGCCACGAACGCGCATCACAGAACAGAGCAAGGCGACCATTTGAGCTTACAAAACTTAAACTTTATTTTTATTTTAAAAGAGCGATCGTTTCGCTTGATAAGACCCTTATTTATCGTCTGAAATCGTTTAAAGCCCTTTGAACAGTTTGCAGTTTTGCACTGAAACTGTCTTTTGGACCTTGAACGGTTTGGTTCCCATTGAAGTCCATTATATGGAGAAAAATCCTGGAATGTTTTCATTAAAAACCTTCATTTCTTTTCGACTGAAGAAAGGATGACATGGGGGTGAGTAAATTGCAAAAGTTCTTTTTAAAAGTGAACTACTCCTTTAATAGGCTCTTTTGAATCGGGCAAGTAACCAGAACATCCTAGCAATAATCACAAGTGTCCACCAGAACATCTAGCAATAATCTAGTAATCTGAACAGTACTTGCAGTAAATGCATACATATGTGTTATGTGCATGTATAACACAAAGTGTTATAAAAAGTACGTCTTGCTTGGCATATTTAAAAGGTTTCCGTTTCCACCAAGAGAACTCTGAACTGTTTAAATAGGCTCTGGAGTGCTGGGAGCAAAAGGATTACATCACAGCAAAACGCTACCATGCACTCCACTCTAATTAGAGTGTATTAATGAAGAGCCAGATAGGGTAACAAGGACACACATTAACACACACGCATATGCAAGCACACTCATGTCGGCTGTAGACATCAGCACATGCAGGGAATAATAATATCAAGCCTTTATATTATGAAGTGTACATGTGTTTGGTAGAGGCGAGCAGTGAACGTAGGTTTCATTTGTAGGGTGTATCTGACCTGACAGACACAGAGAACTCTCCCGGTGTGCTCTCGCTCTCCCTAATGAGGAACGCTCCACACTCCAGCGGTCTCAGGCGGTTTTCTGCGGCCTGCCGTGATATTCCACCCACAAACCACCTGCAAAATACAAGCTCATCTGTCACAATACATCATATCGTATATTTAGAAACTAAAAGGGGAATGCTGGTATAGTAGTTTACTTAAAGGGGGGGGGGGGGGGTCTTTGATCAGATAAAAAAAAATGTTCAAGAAAAGATTTACTTGATTATTGTACAGCTTTGTAGAAGAGTTTTAAGTCTAGCCAGATTTTTTTTTTAGCTCAAACAATGGCCTACACTGACAAATGTACTTGTTGTTCAGTCTCAGTCTACCTCGTCTCAGCATGCACCAGGCTATGAATAATTAATATGGTCGTACTGTTGGATCATTTGCAAGTTTTTTTTGTCAATGAGTTTTTTGCATTGAGTTTATTCCTCTTACAATAATCAGTTTATTTTGTGTGTTTTTTTTTTGTTTTGTTTTTTTTTTTGTCTCAAGCACTTTGCTCACCATGTACATTTTATAAAAAATACATTAGATGAAGAATATCATTTTGAATAATTTAAAATCTTGTAAATAAGGGAATAATCTGCACCAAACTCAAATAACTTCCAATTAAGACTTGATCTAAATAGGCAATTGTTAAATTTAAATTAATGCATTTTGCATTTTTTATTTATTTATTTATTTATTTGGACTTTTTAAGTTGCATTTCAGAAGTACATTTTATCAGTTCATGCATTCTCTGGGAATTTAACCTACACTCTAAAAAATGCTGGGTTGTTTTAACCCAATTTTGGGTCAAATATGGACAAACCCAAAATGTTGGGTTAAAAATGTAATGTAAAAATTTAACCCAACGGCTGGGTTAGTCCACATTTGACCCAAAGTTGGGTTAAAACAACCCAGCATTTTTTAGAGTGTATGACTTATGACATGCTCTGTTTGATCTATAGAATGGCAAATTATTATTACAATTACTTTTTGAAATTTCAGTAAAAATATAGTATATATATACTATATTTTTTTATTTGTTATTATTATTCATCACAAAAAAGAACAATTTACTCAGAAAATAAAATTTCAGTTGTTTTTTTTTAATTTCCATAACAATTTGTTCACAAAATTCCTTAAGTGTTAAGAAGTATAATGTTTTCATCATGTTTTCAGATTTTTAGAAATGTGAGTGTTTACATGATATAGCTGTATAGAAACAAAATGGTTCACTGGGCGCGAGTGTCCTGCCATCTTTGCTTAAGTAACTTGAGCTGTATTGACCATAAGCCAATGTTTGTCCTCATTCAGTCCTCTTTTTCATTACGATCATCATGAATATTGAACTGACTCATCATCCTTTCAGTTCAATCTGGTAGATTCTCAGTCATAAACTGCTCTGTTCAGGTCGAGCCACAGCATGTTTGAAGGGCTTTGGTCTGGTCTTTGATTTCTGCTAATCCTCACTGTCTCACAAGAATCTCAATAATCCACATCACGGTAAAACTGCAGGGTAAGGAAGTCCTTATCTAGCAATGTCCTGACCTAGCAGTTTCAATAATAGTCACACCGACGGGAAGGCCACACCCACAGCAATTCGTAAATTGTATGACATCACAGTGAGGTGTAATGCTGGGAAATCCCTACATTTGTACAGAGGAATGTTTCTTTTTTTTCTAGTCTGGACGAATCATATCAATTGTAAAATACATATACTCCTACATCCAACCCCAAAGCTCTGGCTGTGCATCCAACAGTACCATTCCAAAGTCAAGACCGATGCAATTGTCATCCACCGTGACCTTACACATCACAAATACTTCAGAACCACTGAGAAACAACACCTATCAAATACGTTCTGAAGTACAAACTAGTGATGTCATGACTAAAAGAAATGACCCTTACTTATGGTGTATCTCTGAAACTCTGTGAAACTCTTCTGAATGACCAACATAACTGAACATTTACATTTATTCATTTAGCAGACGCTTTTATCCAAAGGCAAAGCGATTTACAAATGAGAACAAAAAAGACATTAAACACTAACATGTTTTTCCCTTTACTGAATAACACATAAAATATCACTGTATCCCTAGATTTAATCTATTAGGAGATGGTCCTCACTGCAGAACATGAAATCCATGGGGAGGAGTCGGATCCAGATCCAACTCCTCCCACCTTACGTATACCTAAACCTACCCAGCTCCACCCCTTGATCCCTAACCCCACCACTAAACCTACCCAACTCCACCCCTCAGTTCTGGATCAGACTCCGCCCGCTGGATCTTGTGAACTGCAATGAGGTGCTACTGTCTATTAGTGCAGTCCAACGCAAAGCATGCTGGGAACTACAGATACACAGCCCAGTTTCTAGTTATGTCAACAAAAATGACTCACGTGGATTAAGTAAACTTCAGTTTTAAATATAGGCCTATTAGGTGGACTGAATTAAGATAATTAAACAAATTGTGTTACTTTAGCTCATTTGAATTAATTAAACTGAACAAGACGATTACTACATCATTTATTTATGTTAATTATGAGTTACAAGAACAGAACAGAAGATGACTGCAGAGGTTTCCCAAGATATCTTGATGAATTTTTGTCATTCACAGATAATGTCAAATAATGTGACTTTGGTCACGTGATACTTACGTGTGAGGTCTTACATTGATATAGTTCTTCGGTACATAGCCCCGCCTACCCAACAGCTCAGCTGTGTACCAGTTTGGATCGTCGTCCATGTTTGTCACCTAAAATAAGCATAAGATTGCATAAGAGTTCAGATGTCCACGATCACCTCAGGTTAGAGAATAACAATTTGCTTAAGTGGACATTTAAACAACTTTTCAAGTATCATGTAACTATGTAACAGCCCCAGATAACACATTTTGTTAATCAAAAAAAAAAAAACAGTATTGCAAAACAATGCAAATGACCAGATTTCCGCTTAAGTTCAAATAACGCTTAAACAAATTATTAACTGGTCTAGTGTTTTACTGCCTAATTAAAGGCACACTATGCAGGAATTCTGTTTTTGTCAAACAGCGACCCCTAGAGTCGCTGTTGAGGACTTGTATTTAATTTTACTGTCGTAAATACCACTCATGCGTCTCTGCCATAGACTGACCCATTTGAAACTGTTATATTAAAGTACAAATCTTGCATGCATTTTTTGTGCTAAAATGTGTTTTTGAACGCTCGCGTCCGCTGCTATCAGTGTCATGGATACAGTGTCCCTTGTGGTCTTCACTCGGACGCGCTCTTCAATCTATCGCAGTTGCAGAGACTCTCTATTCATTCCAGTGAAATCACAAAATAAAATGCACAAAAACGTGTCCCTGCTTGATATAGACTGTAACCACTGATGGACATATTCAGTTTTGATGAGAGAGAAAAAGCTTAGATCCTATAACCTCTGACACGCTTGACAAAAATCTACCACTGGACCATTAAAGAACAAAAAAAAAAAAAAACTTGCGGATCGTGTCTCTTCCGACCGCGTTTTCTTTGCTTTTTCCATCGTTGTGTATCACGTCTGAAATGCGCGCAAGTGACTTCATGCTTCATGTTGTGGTTGATGTGTGTGACGTCGTTGCTGTAAAGCATGTTGAGATTCTCGCAAGATTTGTCGTGGCGCTCCTCTCAAACTTGCATTGCTGGTTTTTCCAGCGGTGTCCACCCCCATACCCCCACCCCCCCCAATCTTTACAACCAGGATGATACGCCCTACTTTGAGTTTGTTTACCACCGAAATGACGTTAAAAGCTGGTACAATTCTTGCATGGAGTACCTGTAACACAAAGTCTACCCTGAGAAATGTTTACAATTTTCCCTAAAAGATTTATAATTATAAAGTAGAAAATGGCCCGGTTTCACAGACAGGGTTTAGATTAAGCCAGGATTAGGCTTTAGGACATTTAATTGATTTTATTAACATGCCTTAGATTAAGAAAAACACATTACTGGTGTGCATCTTGAGACAAAACAATGGCAGTGACATATTTTAGATATGCCAGTGCAAGTTCAAATAATGCATTTTAGTCTGAGACTAGGTTTAAGCCTTGTCTGTGAAACTGGGGTAAAGAATTATCTTGCACTGTACCCTCCCACAATCTGCCCAGCTACATAAACCACCACCTATTCATTCAGATATCCAATCTGAAATATTTGCTAGGACACCGATGCACACACTGATCAAGTATCGTCTGCAAATTTCAGCATGCAGACTATAATCCTTGTAGTATCATACTAGTGTTCACAGTGAACTATTGCATGCAGACTCACCTTCAGGATGTCACCCTTCTGGAAACTGAGTTCATCACATTCACTCGCTCTGAAACTGTAAAGAGCCTCAGCCTCCATTGAAGAAAGACCAGAAGAGAAAAATAACAGGCAGTGAAGTGGAGATGAGACCAGGATGAAGACAAGAAAGAGGGAAGAGAAAAAAAGGGATGGGAAAGGATGAGCACAAATGAAAAAAGATGAAAAGGTTATTAAAAAAGATGGAGATGTAGAATGGAGAGGGTGAATGAGAAGAATAATCTATAGAAGGACGATGAGCTTTCAGCGCAGAAAAACTGGAGCGACAAAAAAACATAGAGTGAAAAACTGAGGAAGCACAATGTTGATAGAGAAACGGAGAGAATATGTGTGTCTGCCAGTACAGCTGTGCAGCGGAGGGGGAAGGAGAGAGAGAGAAAGTGAGTGAGAGAAAAGAAAAAAGAGAAAATTAAAGAGAGCAGAAAAGCAGTGAACTGATCAGAACATCACATGCTTTTGATTCGATTTTTCGATATATGAGGAAATATGATGCACAACGAAAAATGTACAGTCACAAATTAAGACACACTTGAGTGAATTTATGTTCTTCTGTTGGCTTGACAAAACCAGCACACTGAAATCCTATTTAAGCTTCTTCTTCTTCTTCTTCTTCTTCTGAGAATAAATTAAGTCAGTATCTCCTCCTATAGCTTTAAGCTACACCCACCAAACTCAGGTCAGACCTTCAGACTGTTCTGACTCGGATTGCTATATCTTTAGGTTTTTAAAACTACCCCATATAATTTCATTGAGGGGACCAAAATGTTTATACTGTAATAGAGTATAGCTTCACATCCACCAAGTATCTATCACTTGCAAAGCCTAGCAACTAGGACATGCTAAAACATGCCAGCATGCTAATTCATGCAAACAACGTGTTAAAACATACTTGCAAAAAATATGAAATGTAAAACATGCTGGCAGCATGCTAAATCATTCCAGCAATGTGCTAAAACATGTTAGCAACATGCTAATTCTAAGAGTATGATAAATCATGTTAGCAACATGCTAAAACTTGTCAGCAACATGTTAATTCATGCTAGCAATGTGCCAAGTCATGCAAAACACATTAAACAATGCTAGTAACGTGCTATTGTTATTCTTATTATTATAATTGATTAGACCAGTTGATGTTTTCTAGGCTATTCATACATTAAAAATATATGTATATATATTTTCAAAGTGAAAACAAAATTTACCCTATTTACTTTGTTAGCGCACATTACTATTCTTGTGCTGAACAATTAATCCGTACAAGTTAATGCACAGAAATAAGTTTGTTGTGGTAATCTTTAATCAAAATCTGCTCGAATCCAAATATATATAGGCTTTGTTCACCACAGACCTTATTTCAGGCGATTTAGCAAAAACCCATTCAAAAATAGACTTTAGAGCGAGGAAACCAGAAGTGCTAAAATGCTAACTCACTTCCGCGTAACTTCGGCACTCTATAATCCGTTTCACAAGGAAATACGTCACAACACTGGAGACTTCTATTTCACTGGGACTTTAAATTCATGAATATGAATCACATGGACTAAATGTTCCCTCTTTCCTTCTTTATACAAAATGTTTTATTAAACTCATTTAAAATTCTTAATTCGATATGAATAATATGTTTTCTCACACAAAAACGATATAAATACTGTTCGTTTTCTCACAAAAACCGCTCGTTTCGTGTCTTAGGACATCAATGTGTACTTATATTTACGAGTCATTAAATCATGTTTAATTTTGACTTCTCTGTGCATGCTTTTTAGTGGACCCCCTTAGCCTCCAGTGTATGACTGATAGACAACAACGGTTTGACTGAAAAATGTCAAAATTGAAAATACTGTGGAAACAAAGACACCTACATCTTGGATGCCCTTGAGGTAAGCTAAAACATATCAAAAATTAATTTCAAAGTGAACTATCCCTTTAAGAGCGCTTATTGCAGCTGTGCATGTTGGTCACGTTCGCTCTGATTCAGATCAGATGACACGACATTTAATAAACGCACATGGTCACATAATCTCTCTGCCTCTTGACTTAGTGCAGCTTGATTAATTCATTTTAAAGAGAGCGTCTCAGAACTGAATAACTTGCACACGAGACTGCACTGAATATTTAATTGTTTGCATGGAGAGGATTTCAGTTCCCTGTATCTGACAGATGACAGTCAGTTGGCATGTCTGAGAACATGTGCAGCGTCCACCCAGCTCTCTATCCTGCACACACACACAACGATGTAAGAAACCATCCCTTCAGTGCTCACAATGAGAGCTTTATGAAGGATAACTTGAGTCAGTGAGTACAGAAACAATATTTTCATTAAAATGAATAGAATAGTGATATTATTATATTTTCTAGAAGTACAACAATTATTTTACTCTTTTGAGAATGTACTAGTAAAACTGAATGCATGGTATTCGGTAACTTTGAGGATTCATATAGGGAGGGAGATTGTTTTAGTTATGCTTTCATAGCAAGCACCAATTTGGTAAGTATAGATTTGAACATGGTAATGAGAAGCCATAGTCTATATTGTTACTTATACTTAATAGAAAGGTCACAGTTTAAATCATGGTTATGCAAGAAATAAAGTAAATAAGAGTCTTATAAAAATATAGGCTGTATTACAATATGCACAAAATATGGTGAATAAAGATATCACTATCAATACAATTTTAAGAAAAAGGGTTATTACATAAACTACTGAAAATAAACAATTTCCAAAGCTTAGCATACAAATTGGCAAATAAAATGTTTACATTTTAAATTAAATGTAAAATTTCATTATCATAAAAAAAGCTTTGCATTTTCTTTCTGCTTAGAATAAATGTAAGTGATGCGCTTCAATTTTAAGTTTTAGTTCAAATTGTATAAGTTAAACCTCTTTCTCACACAGCTCACCCAATTTCATGTAAATTATATTGCATAATTAATGCATTTTTAGCGGATGTACTCAATTTAAACGCATAGTTAATTCATTTTTGAGGTAATTCATACAAACAACCATGATATATACTGTATATTTCAGGAACCTTGCATTGTTTTGAGATGGACATCGCTGAAAGTAACTAGAGCTTGCCATTCAGAATGTGATTCGAAATATTATAACATAATCGGGAGCCTTTTTGAAAGAATCCTCTTACATTCTCATTACATTCAATTCAGACTGCAACCTCATTTGTTAAAATATATTCAGTCAGTATATTGGAATATGTAAAGTTCAATTTCTATCTTTACATTAAGTATTTCGAATTTAGAGATTGCATTTGACCTCTTGAAAGAATTTGCATAAACATTATTATTGATTCAAGGGTCATACTGACAAAAAACCCATTCCACAACGATCATATCTCAAAGAGTGTGTACTCACTGATGCTTGATGTATTTCAGCTCACTGGAGATGATTTGCATGCAAATCAGTTTCTGTAATATATCTCTCTTACTAGAGACAACCCGGCTTGTCCTCGGAGGAAGCTCTATCTCAGCTTCATCCTCAGCTGTCATCTGCAAACATTACAGAGATGCAGATGACCAATGGAAGGCAAGTGGGCTAAAATTAAAGATTCTCAAAGAGCTTTTACAATCAGAGGTGGTCTTTTGTTAGGTTACCTTTTGTTATGATGTCTAACCCTACTTTGGTCCAGTGTTCACTGGTCAGGGTTTTACTGACAGCCCTGTGTGCATGTAATAGAACCAAACACGTAAGACATTTACACAAATGCATGTATTAACTAAGTGCATTTATTTATTTATTTATTTATTTCCACTTAAAGGTTAGTGTGTGCCAAATACACCTTCGGAAAATACAAAACCACTGTGGTTTCAGCCAAAAAATAATGTGTGCATCTTAAACACTGATTCATCTGTCATTTGCATATAGTGCAATGTTACACAAGTTATGTTGTTTTATGGTTGTCATAGTGACAGCTTTGACACTGTGTTGTTTCTCCTTCTGGCTGGGCTGGTTGCCATACCGTCTTCCAGTGGCTGAAGAGAGAGAGAGGAGATGGCCAGCAGAGTGGAGACTTTACTGAACACTTTACAGGGTTATTCACATGTACCCTACTGAGCACGCATTTGAATACTCTCCCGTTCTAGTTTGACACAGTACAAAGAGTGTTTTGTCGAGGCATGCTCATCCACGTTTCTTGCCAGGAGAAAATTTAATTGCCCTGGTTGCTCGACTTATATCGGGCTGCATACTTCTGTTAATGGGTTTTTATTACTATTTAAAAACAATTCCTTAAAATAAACATTGTGCCATTTACTTGTTTCAAATAAAGTAACAGGTGGTAATGCAACTAGCTAACTTTAAACTTAAAGGGTTCTTTATATTTTAGTTTACAGCTGTTTTTTTTTTTGTCTTTTTAGCTTAAATTAGCTACAAGGTTTTAATACCTTGCAAAGAAAAATAATTAAAGTCAGCATGAAACAGAAGTTGTTATACTCTATTTGTCCCTAACAAGAAAAAAGTCTTCTCAAACAAGAAAAAAAATTAGGGTGGGACTTAATGTTGTCCATTGGGAACTGATTGCATGGTTGTGGCAAGGGGGTAATCCACCCCAAGACGTCATATAACTGACGTCTTGGGACGTCTTTTGACCATACGTCAACATCCGCCGTTTTAGGGTACAATTTAACGTCGGTTAGATGACGTTATCGGATCCTAACCCTACCCCAGACCTAAACCTACCTCTAAACCTACCCCGTCAACTAACCGACGTTAAAGGTAAAGCGTCAGTTGTATGTCGTCCCAGGATCATCATGTAACTGACGTTAAAGTGTACCCTAAAATGGCGGATGTTGACGTGTGGTCAAAAGACGTCCCAAGACGTCAGTTATATGACGTCTTGGGATGAGACACTAGCCCAACATGACATCATGACTTTTGCGTAAACTTGACTTGAAAGTGGTGTGTTATCCATACGCATTTTGAGCCATTCGCGTGTATACGTGCATGTCTACGCCGTTAAATGTCCCGAGTGATTCCGCGTGTGTGTACACGCTGTTAAATGTCTGAGCGAAACAAAGCAAAATGTAGATCTACCACTGGGGAGCGATATTTTTTTTTTCCTATATGGTGGGGGAACACTCATAAATGGTATTAACCCCAGTGACGTGTAGGTTTAGGGACGGGGTTGGGGTAGGTCATATATTTATATATACAGTATAAGTCAACGGCATTCATAAACACGCTGAAAAGCAATTATGCGTGTTGATGGCACACCAAAAATGGAAATACGAATTGGCATGTCATACATACGCCATTTCATAAGATCAGTCTGACCAGCCGGAAATTGAAGCCTCCTGGACCCTGGGGGCCGCCATTGGTTAGCAAACCTTCACCTGCTGTTAGCATTCCATTGACTCCCATTCATTTTAGCATCACTTTGACAGCGAATAACTTCACATCTGAGTCGTTTTAAGACTCCATTTGCCCATTGTTTATTTCTAAAGAAACACGGCGGTGTATAAAAGGCTCCATTACCTTGTATCTTATGTTTGTATCTCCATTACCTTGCACTGTAGAAGCAGTTTTTGTGAAAATAGGCTAACGATTGC